GGGAGGGGCCGCAGAGGCTTTAAATGCCGGAGGAGCGCCGAGTCCCTGACATTGGAGGCAGAGGAGTGAGTGAAGGAGACCGCACGCCATGCCATGCCGCCCATCCTGTGGCATCAATAAAGCCGGGCGCTGCCACCCCTGAGGACCCCCGAGAGACGGGGCCCCGAGCCGAGGAACATGGAGGAAGAGCCCCTTACTGGACCCCAGAAAGTGCTGATCCGGGACAGCTGGCAGATAGTGAGCCAGGACCAGATACACCATGGCACCGTACTCTTCACCAGGTGAGGCTGGCACTGAGCTGAAAGGGAGGCTGGAAGAGGGAGCCGTGATGTAGAGGAGGCTGGAAGAGGGAGCCGTGATGTAGGGGAGGCTGGAAGAGGGAGCCATGATGTAGAGGAGGCTGGAAGAGGGAGCCGTGATGTAGGGGAGGCTGGAAGAGGGAGCCATGATGTAGAGGAGGCTGGAAGAGGGAGCCGTGATGTAGGGGAGGCTGGAAGAGGGAGCCATGATGTAGAGGAGGCTGGAAGAGGGAGCCGTGATGTAGGGGAGGCTGGAAGAGGGAGCCATGATGTAGAGGAGGCTGGAAGAGGGAGCCGTGATGTAGGGGAGGCTGGAAGAGGGAGCCATGATGTAGAGGAGGCTGGAAGAGGGAGCCGTGATGTAGGGGAGGCTGGAAGAGGGAGCCATGATGTAGAGGAGGCTGGAAGAGGGAGCCGTGATGTAGGGGAGGCTGGAAGAGGGAGCCATGATGTAGAGGAGGCTGGAAGAGGGAGCCGTGATGTAGGGGAGGCTGGAAGAGGGAGCCATGATGTAGAGGAGGCTGGAAGAGGGAGCCGTGATGTAGGGGAGGCTGGAAGAGGGAGCCATGATGTAGAGGAGGCTGGAAGAGGGAGCCGTGATGTAGGGGAGGCTGGAAGAGGGAGCCATGATGTAGAGGAGGCTGGAAGAGGGAGCCGTGATGTAGGGGAGGCTGGAAGAGGGAGCCATGATGTAGAGGAGGCTGGAAGAGGGAGCCGTGATGTAGGGGAGGCTGGAAGAGGGAGCCATGATGTAGAGGAGGCTGGAAGAGGGAGCCGTGATGTAGGGGAGGCTGGAAGAGGGAGCCATGATGTAGAGGAGGCTGGAAGAGGGAGCCGTGATGTAGGGGAGGCTGGAAGAGGGAGCCATGATGTAGAGGAGGCTGGAAGAGGGAGCCGTGATGTAGGGGAGGCTGGAAGAGGGAGCCATGATGTAGAGGAGGCTGGAAGAGGGAGCCGTGATGTAGGGGAGGCTGGAAGAGGGAGCCATGATGTAGAGGAGGCTGGAAGAGGGAGCCGTGATGTAGGGGAGGCTGGAAGAGGGAGCCATGATGTAGAGGAGGCTGGAAGAGGGAGCCGTGATGTAGGGGAGGCTGGAAGAGGGAGCCATGATGTAGAGGAGGCTGGAAGAGGGAGCCGTGATGTAGGGGAGGCTGGAAGAGGGAGCCATGATGTAGAGGAGGCTGGAAGAGGGAGCCGTGATGTAGGGGAGGCTGGAAGAGGGAGCCATGATGTAGAGGAGGCTGGAAGAGGGAGCCGTGATGTAGGGGAGGCTGGAAGAGGGAGCCATGATGTAGAGGAGGCTGGAAGAGGGAGCCGTGATGTAGGGGAGGCTGGAAGAGGGAGCCATGATGTAGAGGAGGCTGGAAGAGGGAGCCGTGATGTAGGGGAGGCTGGAAGAGGGAGCCATGATGTAGAGGAGGCTGGAAGAGGGAGCCGTGATGTAGGGGAGGCTGGAAGAGGGAGCCATGATGTAGAGGAGGCTGGAAGAGGGAGCCGTGATGTAGGGGAGGCTGGAAGAGGGAGCCATGATGTAGAGGAGGCTGGAAGAGGGAGCCGTGATGTAGGGGAGGCTGGAAGAGGGAGCCATGATGTAGAGGAGGCTGGAAGAGGGAGCCGTGATGTAGGGGAGGCTGGAAGAGGGAGCCATGATGTAGAGGAGGCTGGAAGAGGGAGCCGTGATGTAGGGGAGGCTGGAAGAGGGAGCCATGATGTAGAGGAGGCTGGAAGAGGGAGCCGTGATGTAGGGGAGGCTGGAAGAGGGAGCCATGATGTAGAGGAGGCTGGAAGAGGGAGCCGTGATGTAGGGGAGGCTGGAAGAGGGAGCCATGATGTAGAGGAGGCTGGAAGAGGGAGCCGTGATGTAGGGGAGGCTGGAAGAGGGAGCCATGATGTAGAGGAGGCTGGAAGAGGGAGCCGTGATGTAGGGGAGGCTGGAAGAGGGAGCCATGATGTAGAGGAGGCTGGAAGAGGGAGCCGTGATGTAGGGGAGGCTGGAAGAGGGAGCCATGATGTAGAGGAGGCTGGAAGAGGGAGCCGTGATGTAGGGGAGGCTGGAAGAGGGAGCCATGATGTAGAGGAGGCTGGAAGAGGGAGCCGTGATGTAGGGGAGGCTGGAAGAGGGAGCCATGATGTAGAGGAGGCTGGAAGAGGGAGCCGTGATGTAGGGGAGGCTGGAAGAGGGAGCCATGATGTAGAGGAGGCTGGAAGAGGGAGCCGTGATGTAGGGGAGGCTGGAAGAGGGAGCCATGATGTAGAGGAGGCTGGAAGAGGGAGCCGTGATGTAGGGGAGGCTGGAAGAGGGAGCCATGATGTAGAGGAGGCTGGAAGAGGGAGCCGTGATGTAGGGGAGGCTGGAAGAGGGAGCCATGATGTAGAGGAGGCTGGAAGAGGGAGCCGTGATGTAGGGGAGGCTGGAAGAGGGAGCCATGATGTAGAGGAGGCTGGAAGAGGGAGCCGTGATGTAGGGGAGGCTGGAAGAGGGAGCCATGATGTAGAGGAGGCTGGAAGAGGGAGCCGTGATGTAGGGGAGGCTGGAAGAGGGAGCCATGATGTAGAGGAGGCTGGAAGAGGGAGCCGTGATGTAGGGGAGGCTGGAAGAGGGAGCCGTGATGTAGGGGAGACCGGTTTGCCATTTGTATGAAGTCCGCACCTCATACACGGAGTTGTTCTGAGCCTCCGGTGGTGGATCTCCTGTGTGGTCGGAGTGATCCCTATACTCCCATTATGGGAGGAGCTTCACTCGTCACACCGGCCCGGGACCTCCAGCGATGACGGATGTCGGAGGATTGGCCGGGTGCCAGTGAGGAAGTTGCTGTGTGTGGTCCCGGAGACAGGACATGCTGTAGAGGGGCATGCTGGAAGTTGTAGTGATATGGATGAGCTCAGATGATGGTGAGACTCAGGTTGGGGATGGTGACCCCGGTGATGGCTCCGATGATGGTGAGACTCAGGTTGGGAATGGTGACCCCGGTGATGGCTCAGATGGTGGTGAGACTCGGGTTGGGGATGGTGACCCCGGTGATGGCTCCGATGATGGTGAGACTCAGGTTGGGAATGGTGACCCCGGTGATGGCTCAGATGGTGGTGAGACTCGGGTTGGGGATGGTGACCCCGGTGATGGCTCCGATGATGGTGAGACTCAGGTTGGGAATGGTGACCCCGGTGATGGCTCAGATGGTGGTGAGACTCGGGTTGGGGATGGTGACCCCGGTGATGGCTCCGATGATGGTGAGACTCAGGTTGGGAATGGTGACCCCGGTGATGGCTCAGATGGTGGTGAGACTCGGGTTGGGGTGTGATGAGCTCAGATGATGGTTAGACTCAGGTTGGGAATGGTGACCCCGGTGATGGCTCTGATGATGGTGAGACTCAGGTTGGGAATGGTGACCCCGGGGATGGCTCAGATGATGGTGAGACTCAGGTTAGGAATGGTGACCACGGTGATGGCTCAGATGATGGTGAGACTCGGCTTGAGATTGGTGACCCCGGGGATGAGCTCAGATGATGGTGAGACTCAGGTTGGGAATGGTGACCCCGGTGATGGCTCAGATGATAGTGAGACTCGGGTTGGGGATGGTGACCCCGGTGATGGGCTCTGGTGAGTCTCAGGTTGGGAATGGTGACCCCGGTGATTGCTCCGCTGGTGGTGAGACTCGGGTTGGGGATGGTGACCTCGGTGATGGGCTCTGATGATGGTGAGACTCAGGTTGGGAATGGTGACCCCGGTGATGGGCTCTGGTGATGGTGACCCCCGTGATGGGCTCTGATGATGGTGAGACTCAGGTTGGGAATGGTGACCCCGGTGATGGCTCCGATCACCCCGCAGACCATCATTGATCCTTTCTATGAGCACCTCTCTCTCTCTCATATTTGTGACCTCCACGTAAAATGGAATTGTTCCTCAGGTTTGGCAAAGGTGGCCACCGGAGGAGATTCTGCTCCCACTCAATCCTTTTCCAGCGTCATTGGGGGGCCACCCGAGTAGATTCAGCTCTGAGTGGGGTTCCTTTGTGTCATTGTAGGGGTGGAGCTCAGGCGGGGGATGGGTACGTCTCGTGTGATGATACAGATCAGGGTGGAGCCTGCTCGGGGTCAGGGTTGGCTCCACCATATTATGGATTGATGGTGTCTGATGGCCTCCGGTTCTCTTTCAGGTTGTTCGAGTTGGAGCCGGACTTAGTCTTCCTCTTCCAATACAATTCCGCTCACTTCTCCACCGTCCAGGAATGTCTGAGCTCCTCCGAGTTCAGCGAACACATCCGCAAGGTGAGTAATGGTCGCCTCCCCTGGTCCTCGTGGGCGGAGCTCTGAGATGGGGCGTGTCATGTGACCGCTGCGCTCTCTTCTCAGGTTATGACTGTTATAGACGCCGCGGTCAGCAGCCTGGACTCCCTGACGTCTCTGGACGAGTATCTGACCGGCCTCGGCAGTAAACATCGGGTGACCGGCGTCAAGCTGGAATCATTCAAGGTGGGAAATGTTTGCACGTCAGGTCACAAGACTTCCTGTTCCCAAGAGCTGACAATCCACATCACCACCATCATCACCTCCATCATCATCACCACCACCATCATCATCACCTCCATCACCATCATCATCACCTCCATCACCATCATCATCACCATCACCTCCATCACCACCATCATCATCACCTCCATCACCACCATCATCATCACCTCCATCACCATCATCATCATCACCTCCATCACCATCATCATCACCATCACCTCCATCATCACCATCACCTCCATCACCACCATCATCATCACCTCCATCACCATCATCATCACCTCCATCACCATCATTGTTCTTTCCCAGCAACTTCTTCCTCATAAAATGTCAAAAATCTGAAATATTTCTAAAGATCCCCCCCGAGAGGTTCCAGTAGACGGATGGAGCAGATAGAGAGGTTGGAGGGGTCACCCCTGGTGGGTGTGGTCAGAGAGGTCACCCCAGGGAGGTACAGAGGTCGAAGGTGTCACCCCTGGTGGGTGTGGTCAGAGGGGTCACCCCAGGGAGGGACAGAGGTCGAAGGTGTCACCCCTGGTGGGTGTGGTCAGAGGGGTCACCCCAGGTCATGCCATTGGTCAGAGGGATCACCCTGGTGGGTGTGGTCAGAGGAGTTACCCCGATGGGTGTGGTCAGAGGGGTCACCCTGGTGGGTGTGGTCAGAGGAGTTACCCCTGGTGGGTGTGGTCAGAGGGGTCACCCCAGGTCATGTCATTGGTCAGAGGAGTTACCCCAGGTCATGCCATTGGTCAGAGGGGTCACCCCAGGTCATGCCATTTGTCAGAGGAGTTCCCCTGGTGGGTGTGGTCAGAGAGGTCTTCACAGGTGGGAACAGTGGTCAGAGGAGTTACCCCAGGTCATGCCATTGGTCAGAGGGGTCACCTCAGGTCATGCCATTGGTCAGAGGGGGTCACCCTGGTGGGTGGGGTCACCCCTGGTGGGTGTGGTCAGTCAGAGAGGTCCCCCCAGGTCATGCCATTGGTCAGAGGGGGTCACCCCTGGTGGGTGGGGTCAGAGGGGTCACCTCAGGTCATGCCATTGGTCAGAGGGGGGTCACCCCTGGTGGGTGGGGTCAGAGGGGGGGTCACCCCTGGTGGGTGTGGTCAGTCAGAGAGGTGAGGTTGGGTTCCTGGGGGTCTCGGTATGTAGATGGAGAGATCCCGCCACCGGTGTCCTGGGAAGTCCCGGAAGTTTTGGGTGAAGTTGCGCCGCGGTTGCCGGTTCTGAGCGCTCTCTTCCTCTGCAGACGGTGGGCGAGTCGCTGCTCTTCGCTCTGGAATCCGGATTGGGAGAATTGTTCACAGCCGAGAGCCGCGCGGCGTGGAGCCGGCTGTACGGCGTGGTGGTGGGCGCCATGAGCCGTGGCTGGTGCAGAGGGCCGTGAAGCCGGCTGTGGTGGTG